CAATCTGCCTGTTCTGCTCCCAACTCTGTCTCTGCTGAATCCTCTTGTCCCCACCCCCACTCCCACACCTCTGGCCTACACCCCAACTCTTGTATGTATGAATAAACAAATGTTAAAAAAATTAAATCCCGGGCCTCCCTGGTGGCGCAAGGGGTTAAGCACCGCACTATGAAGCAATCTGCAGCTTCTGATGCACAAGTTCAATCCCTAGCCTGCCAGGGAGAAACCCACATGGCGAGGCAGACCTCTCCTGTCTTGCCCACTACTCCCCTCAGCAGTGTATTTTGTCAGTCTGTCTGTTCTGTCCCCCACTCTGTCTCTGGTGAATCCTCTCACCCCCCCGCATATCTGGCCTGTACCCCAGCTCTTGTATGCATAAATAAATCTTTTTTAAAAAATTAAATGACAAGGAAAACAAAGAAAAAAGAAATTATGATAAATATTGTTTTATGGGTTCTATTATAAAAATATTTTTATATATTCTAATATTAGACATGATATCTTGTATATTTATAATAATTGCATTTGAGGTACATTAGCTATATGATTGGTCTTTCCCAAAACTCTAGAAATCACCTTTTTAGACTCTTGAAAAGGAAAATCATATAGTTTACAAGGTTTACATTTACTTTTAGAAAGACAAACCATTTCATCAGTTCCTGTAAGAAAAAATTCACTGTGAATTTTTGGGTTCATGCTCATAAAAAAAAAAAAGGAATACTTTCTCATGGGAAAAACAAATAATGATCAAAAAGATTTTGAAACAGCTGTGCAGAGTTCAATTAGAAGTTCTTCTTGGACTATAGGAAGAAATTGAGGGTGAATTAGACTAGCTTGAGTCTGATTTCTCAAACTAACAATATTTCAGATACCAGTTGTGACTTCAGTATTCCCCTGACTTAAACTCAGATTCATGTAAGGCATGAGATGCCTGCCTTGAATCTTAGCACTTGGAAAGTTCTGAGGAAACTTGGACAATTGTTGTCTAATGACTGAAATATGTTTATGAAAAATGTAGAAAAAGGGAGCATGATGGAAGGATAAACCACAACTGTGTAGATTACCAGCAATTAAAAATATCAAAACAAACTTGTAAAAGTCCTTTATAACCTTGAAAAAAATACATTTTTACCAAGTACACTGTAACACGTAGTACAGATTGTAAGAGTTATAAATACTCAAAAACAGAAAGTGTTTGCAGTGTACTGTTTAAGATGGCATTATCTAAAAAACAAATTCTCAACCAACAGGTGCTAAGTGGTAGCACAGGAAATTATCTAAAATGTACTCTTCCCTCCAATGTATCATTCTGCCTAAGGCTGAAATTTTTCATTTACTTCTGAATAATAAAATTTGAAAAGTCCCAGTTTCAATTGCCCAAAAAGAAATTTCATAACCACAGCTCAGGATTTTTCTTTGGTGATAAAAACACAGTAACGCCATGTTACATTCCACCAACCTAGAGAGTTTCTAAGTCATCATCTTTCCCAGGATAAAACAGTCACCTGCAGACATTCATTGAAGGAATCAGTGAATGATGTGATCTGAAGATGTGTTTCAGATGACCTCAAAGAATAAATTATTCCCCTTGCAAATATTGCAATAGCTGCACATTTTCCAGATTTTTTATGTGGTTTTGAGGTGAACCCCAGCTCTCTGATAAACAAGTAGGCAATTCAAGAAGTCACCTTGAATGATTTTCCCTGTTCTTGAAAGAATCATTTGAATCATTTTATATGTTAAGCAAATGTAAGACAAGATCTTCTGCTAAAGGAAAAGACAAATGGAGACTAGCTCTTTTTGGTATTGAGTATTCCAGGAAGAGCTGAACGTATTTGTATAGGCTCCCTAGACTTTGGGAGAACACATGCTAGATGCTTGAGCTTCAGCAAGCACCTTGCAATCAAGAGGAAACAACCATTATATTATAGATGGTGATGTGAACAGACAGAACACATAATATCAAGGAGCTGCTATTCTGCAGACTTTTGGTCACAAGTAACCACCACCACCGCCTGCCCCCATGTGTTTAAGCTCTTATTAGATTATGGGTGACTTGCAGTTAAAGCTTTCTTACTCAACCCACAGTCATGTTCATCAGATTCTAGTAACCACAAATGAGAGCTAGATACATAATAGCCCTTAGCAAGACACCCTATGGAGCTACTCAGTACAGAATGGTGCTTTCAAGCATTGTGCTCTGGGACACTGGGAGAGCTTCTTTTCAGCCAAATGACACTGCAAGTGTTAATTTCTAAAAATTAACTTTGGAAAGCAGCTGTGGAACAAGTTAATTACCAAATGAGACAGATTCTTCTGCAGTCTCTCCCTCCTGACCTCAGTGTGGAGACTAATTATGGATTGAACATCAGAAAGAGAAGGAAAATTGTTTAATGCTATATATGGAAACGGAAAGTAAAATGTATTCTGACATAAGCATCTAGAATCCTAAGAATAAGAAGTGAGATATTAAGAAGGTCAAATATGAACTAAATTGTTAATAGAAGTTACCACTTGACTCTAATTTGAGTTGTATGGAAGTGAGGCTGGCTGTTTTTGTATATTTCTGTATTCTTTGAATTTTTGTTATAAGGATGTGTTATTTTGTTAATAGGAAAATAATTTCTAATAAATGAACATACCTCTAAAGTTACATTTATCAAATGCTTACTAGGCATTCTCTAATTGTATCCTCAACACTATGTTGCAAAGATTTTTAGTAACTATAATCTCACAGTCAGTGATTGAAAGAATCCTTACTTAAAGTCAGTTCAAATACAAAGTTCATTCTCAGAAACTGTGCTTGCTACTCTGCCTCTCATCTTTCTGGATATGTGGGTATTCTTCATTCTCTTTACCAAACATGAGAGTTTCTTTGAATGACACTTGCATTAGACAATTTTTAAGGAAACTGTCTTCCAGTAGTTTCCTTACCCTGACCACCTCTCTCGAAGTCTTAGGAAACAAAAACAATCTTACCTTATTTTAGTGTCTTTTTAGGAATGTATTTACTATTCACATTTGACAAGACCATCTAAGACTCCTCTGTCCTTAAAGTTCAATCCTGGTCACATTAGGGGAAAGATTTAAAAGCATTAGACTCTCAGTACAATAAAGCAGGCATGCAGAAGGAATTTCAGGCACTAAGCTCTGTGTAGCTGGCTATGTTGTATCTTTAACAAGAAAACACATTTAAATGTGAGGAAAATTAATTCTTTAAAAATAGTCTTCATAACTACATAAAATATCCACATGAGAAACAGAAAATCCAGACTTACTTAATGTGAGAGGAAATGAGTTCTCTATTTGATTAAAAGGATGACGTGAAATTTCACCTACTGTAAGTCAGAAGAGTGTCTGGAATATATCACAAATCTGCAGATTTGCCTCTGTTTTTTATAGCTCTTGAAGCCTATATAAGGACTTGGGCCTAGATTATCCAAACTAAGTCTTGGATAAGCTTCCGTTAACACAGCTACATATCTTTTTTTTTTTTTTTAAGATTTATTTATTTATTTATACAAGCACTGGGTACAGTCAGAAGCACAGAAGGGTGAGAGAATTCACCAGAGCCAGAGCGGGGAGCAGAACAGGCAGACAGACCAAGTACACTGCTGAGGGGAGCAGCGGGAGGCAGGACAGGTCTGTGCGCCATGTGGGACCCTCGCCTGGCTTTGGCAGCCCAGCGCTCAACCGCTGCACCATCGGGGAGGCCCAGCTACATATCTTTTTAAAAGAAAAAAATGAAGGCTTATTTTAAAAGAAAATGAAATTACAACCTATAACCATAAAGTGTTGCAACATTAACCATCTCTGAAAGAAATGTTTGATTTTCTGCCTATTCAATAAACCAACAAAAGTTCATTTTAGGATTATTTTTATGTCTGTATAGTTTTAAATTTCAAAGGAGAAAGAAATGTTATGGACAGAAAAGGCTTTATATGGTGTCATCCCACTAAACGGATGTGAAGGAGACTCAGGTTTAATTGCAGGTTTTCAGTTAATAAGTTATATGACTTTGAGGTTTTTATCTTAAGCTTAGGCAGTCTATGTAGCTCCTTAACTCTACATGTCTAGTAGTCACTTTGTTGTTGATTTCTAGCTTTCTGCGTATGGTCAGGGAACATGTTCTGTATGATTTTAGTCCTTTAACAATTGAGACTTGCTTTATGGTTCAGGATGTCAATTTTTATAAACGTTCTGTGTGTGTTCAACGCAATGTGTATTCTCCAGCCAGGTGAAGTTAGGTCATGTTAATTAGTGACATTATTTATATCTTGATAACATCCCTTATTTATTTCCCACTGATTCTATCAATTACTTAGGAATTTAAAAATCTATCATGGCATGGTGCACAGGTGCACTGGTGAAGGAAACTCTATGGGGACTACACCTGAGGGGGTGGGGGGAAGCAAATATTGTTTAAAAATGAACAATGATGTAAAAAATAAAAAAATTAATATTAAAAAATCTATCATGGCAAATTTGTAGATTTCTATTAGTTTTTGCTTCATATAATTTGAGACTATGTTATTAGATGATTAAAAATCTGTTATAACTCACTGGTGAATTCAATAGTTAATCATTATATAGTTATCTTTTCTCTTTAATAATTCTTTTTGTCTTAATGGCTATCTTATCTAATGGTACAACTATGTCATTTGTTCAATTTTCTCTTACATATATTCTTAATGGCACATATTTTTACTAAGTATGTTTTACTTTTAACCTTTCCATATATTTAAATTTAATGTTTCTCTTGTAAATTTCATGTAATTTTTTTCATCCTGCTTAATGATGTTTAATTGGAATATTTGATTCACTTGCACTGACATTTCAGTTTAAAATGCCTTTTAATTTTTCTTTCTTGCCTCTCTGGTTATTTTTCTTGTAGCTTTTTCTATGATCTTACTTTTTTATTACCTTTTTAGTAAGCATTTTCTTTACAGTTTTAAAATCCAGTTACAGATATTGTATTATATTTAATCATTCTTTTCCCCCAGTTTTATGAATAATAATCAACACATAATGTATTAGCTTAAGGAATTCACCATAATGATTTATGTTGATCACCACCGTAAGTTTAGTTAACATCCATCACCTCACATAGTTACAATTTTTTTCTTGGGATGAGAACTTTTAAGATCTGTTCTCTTAGCAACTTTCAAATACACGATCAGTAGAGTATTATCCACTATCATCAACATACATTACACCCCACAACTTATAACTGGCAATTTGTACATTTTGACACCTTTACCCATTTCCTATACCCACTTCTTTGACAACCAACAATCTGTTCTATGTTGTTATGAGTTCAGTTTTTTGGATTCCACATGTATGTGAGGCCATATAGTATTATCTTTCTCTTTTGGACTTCTAACATTCTTATGTGTATAATGTAGTGTCTGGAGTTGATAACTTCTTAACTTTGAACACATTCCAAAACATTACATTTTTCAACTTTCTCCCCCCAGCATTTTGTATTTTTGATGCCTCATTTTATATCTTGTATGTATTCCTTGAATAATTACTGTGGTTATAGTTAATTTTACTACTTTTGTCTTTTAATCTTCATGCTTCCATTGTAAGTGATCCACTTGAACTGTGTACCCTTTCAAGTGAGTTTTTAAAATGTGTTGTCTTATAGTGTTCTTTCTTTCTTTCATTTTCTTTCTTTCCTTCTATTTTTTAACTCTAAAGAAGTTCCTTTAACATTTCTTACAAGGCTGATTTTATGTGATGAATTCCTTTAGCTTTTGCTTATCTGGGAAACTCTTAATCTCACCTTCAATTCTGAATGTTAATTTTGATGGATATAGAATTCTTGTTTAGAAGTTTTTTTTTAGCATATTGAGTATGTCATGTCATTCTTCTGTGTGCCTTTGTTCTAGACTATTTTTCAAGGCTATTTACATAACCAACACCAAGGGAAAATACAGAGTATTTCTCTCTAGAAGAGATATAGCTTTGATTGCTATCCACTCTAATAAAGATGTCTCTCTCCAGCATTTAATACCCATTATTAGAGATTTGGGATCTAGGTGTTTGGACTCTTTTCTTCTTGCGCTATAGGATTGGATATCAGGGCATCAGCAAAAATGATCTCTGATGAACACTGTTACAATGAGTAATAGTCTGACCCAGGAACTTATAACTTGTAGTTACAGTAAAATTTTAAACTTGATACATAAAATTTTAAAAAAGGTAAACATCGAGCCATCCCAAGTTTGGGTAACAACCAGTGCTAGAGGGTTGTTGGTCAGGTCCCAAGTTTGTCCAGGTGCCCAGGCATGTTGGGGTGTCCACAGCCCAAGAAGAAATGAAACCACACTTGTAAACCTCACCCGGGATTGAAACTCGACCAATCACTGCTTGACAAACTTTCCACAAATCAGAACTGCACTAACTGAAAACCTCATTTGCATAAAGTGAATGTAGCTTGGCCCTCACGTTTACTTAAGCACCCTCCCTTCAGAGATTTTGGGGTATTCAGCTCAAAAGCTCCTCAAGGCTTTATCCCCCTGATGACAGTCTCACATTTGCTGTACTATTTGAGCTATGGAGCAAAAACTGAACACTATTGGCAAGGCACAAGAGCCTTAACACTCAAGCTATAATGAGATCAGACAATAAACTCTCCCAAGTTCTTGACAATGTCTCATCTGCTTTAGTAGCAGCTTCCTATTCTGTGCCAAATGTGAAACAGTTCATGTATCCTGTTTCTTCCCAAAAGACCTTGTCATTCTGGAATTTAGTTCCTTTGGCTGCCTTCCTTGATGAGTGTAAGAAAAGTCCTATCTTTTTCTTATTAGGATGGGAATAACATTCTATTGCAGCTTTCTCTATATTAAGTGGAAGCACAATTCCCAAAGTATACCTGTTTGATTATTTTCTGTTACCAAAGGTAGACACTGAATGATCTGTAAACACTGATTGTTCAGTTTATACATACTAAATCAGTTCTTAAAAGGATAAGCTTGAGTGGTGAGCTCCAATAGTTTAGAGAAACAGTCCATGAAATATTTCATCACATGCACTGAAAGCAACAGACCAAAGGTGTTCACCTTCTAGCATAGTTGAGACAGAAAAGGGTAAAAATGATTCATGAAGAATGGGGTATTATGAGTGCAAAGTGTGCATATGCACTGGCCATCAACTATTAGAGGATCAGAGGGACATACAAGAAAAGTATGCCACTTGTGCGTAGCGGGCTTTTGAAGCTCTCAAAAAGTGAACAGGGATGCAGCAGAAAGACCTGAAAAGGACACAATAGATTGAAGAACAGTTAAGTAGTATCTTGAGGCTTCACACATGAGTTTTCCATTTCCCTGTTATTTTCCCTCCACTAAACAGAATCTAGACTTCTTTTGGAAGATTGACCTCTTTTTTTTTAATATTTTACTTTATATAATTCTTACATCATTTTTCATTTTTTCACAATGTATGCATTTTCATTTTGGTTATATTCCCCATACAATTGCACCCCCCACTTACTCTCTTTTAGATGGTGGAAGTCTTGTTAGGGCTGCCAATTAAAATGCTTGCCTCCTCTTCCCCTAACTTTCCCAGGGCTCCCTCAGTCATGAAAGAAAAAAAAAAACATTTGGGACTGATTCATCACTGAGCTATTAGTTTCTCCTATGTAAATCCCAGGACAGTCTTGGTCCTTATCTTTTCAAAATATGGTTTAAGTTTTCTCCTAACTCTGTGAGTTACCCAATACTAGATTTTCTTAAGTACAACCGAAGTGTAAATTCTGTTGTCTGCAACCAAGAAAACCCTACTGATACAGGGTAAGTGGTCTAATAAAGGGCATGACAGAGGCTGAGGAAGTTTTTGAAGGTAGCCTGATATCCAGACACTTTATTTAAAATCATTAAAAGAAACTGCATTAATGACTGTTAAAATTGCTGGTTATGGTACAATGACTAATTGATTTCATTAATGTTTTTATGAGTTTGTAGTAAGCTAACATTTCCTATGCTAGGCTGATGATGTTTTGTTACTACAAACTCTATATAGATGTCACCTTCATATCTCCATGTTAGAAATAAAAACAAATGAGAATGAACTGAAATAATAAGGCATTACATGCTATAGGATGAAAATGAAGGAGGGAGTGTTGAGAGTAGCAAATGATGTTACAATGAAATATTTTTTGAAATTTAGTTGCTTATGACTTTTTAAAAACACCATTTATGAAATTCAGCTATATTAACCAAAACATATGCGAAGAAAATTTCAAGGAAAAGATAAAGCAAGTAGATAATGCAAGGAGAAATACAGTGGAGTACTAGGTATTCAGTGAGACATTTCAAAAATACAAAGCAAAAATGAGACAACTGCTACAAACAGACTAGTTTGACAAGTGCTTGAAATGGGAAATTAATTTTGGGCTAATCTTGCTTTCTATACATACACACACACACACACGTATATATACACATACACACATCTGATGGCCCAGAGAGATGTACTGATTTGACCAAAGCTTACAAGGGTGGATTTCCTGCATGGTTCAGATGAAGGAATCTCTCTTTATATGAGGAAAATGTTTAATTCCTGTTCAAACTGAATGTAGGCAATATAACTTAGAGAAATAAGAACACATTTTAAGATTCTCTTAACTATATATATGAGTATTTTATATATATGAGAACCATTTGCAATATGTGTAATAGAATATATACTGTATCCTATTATATGTTCCACTGCATATAATAGAACACATATTAGTGACACATATGCATATATATCTCACTGAGTCCTTTTTAGAGTTGTCTCATTACTTTTTAAAAATATTATAAAAATCAAATGTTTAAGAAAAGGTATCCAGATAATAATCAGTATAAGGCCACCTAATATTTATCTTTAATATCCATGAGTTTTTCAAATATGATAACTAAGTAGAACCAGAAAATTCAGGGCATACACTCTGTCACACAGGTTAGTTTAGCAGTTATTCAAAACCTTGGCACTGCTGACATTCAGGCAGGGTAAGTTCTTTGTTGTGGGGGCTGCTCAATGCACTGTAGGGTGTTTGGCAGCATCCCTGGCCTCTACCCGCTAGATGCTAACAGCACCCTAGTAGCACCCCTAGTCACAACAATCAAAAATGTGTCTTGACATAAGTCAAATGTCCCCTGGTAGGGATAAAGGGCATAACTGCTCCCTGGTTAAGAAACCAGAAACATCATGACTACAACAAAACAAATCAATTACCAGCTGAAGGAGGCTATTGAGAAGTCAGCTGTGATTTGAATTACATTGGTATTTTAGTTCAAAATATACCATGGCTAGAACCAAGTTAATTATACCAGCTTTTGTGTCAAGATGAGCTATCCAAAACAGTAGTTATTAGCCACATGTGGCTATTGGCACTTAAAATACACCCACTTCTGAAGTGAAATGCTTCAATTAAGTACAATTTGGGCTGGATTTTGAAGATTTGATATAAAATATATTATTCCAAGTAATTTTACTTGCTCCTCTTTAGTTTTTAATGTGGCTACTATAAAATTCTAAATTACATATGTGGTCCACATTATATTTCTATTGGACAGCACTGGTCTATAAACTTGAAATAATTTCATATTTTTTCAAATGAGATAAAAAGTCTACCAAATAAGCCAAAACGATTTTGGAAGGCTTTTGACAACCTTATGAAATTAGCTCATTTTTGAGCACTATAATTCTTTATTATCACGTCTAAATGTTTTTTCTGCTTCTTTAAACCAATTATTTCTATTCCAATGCTTTATTCTCAATGTTTCCAAGGGCTCTTTTATGGTTGTTGATTTGTCTTCATGCTGTCCATTACCATTCTCCTGCGCATCAGTTTCTTTCACACACTCAGGAGCTTTCCTCATAGGATGCTGAGATGCAGTCTCCATCATACTTAAAAAATCATATGCAGGGAGAGGTGGTTTCCATTCCTGAGCAGGCAAAATTTCTGGAAGGAAGATGCAATCAAGGGTTAAAGATGAAGAGATATAAGATCATCACATGAATATACTAGAAAGAAAAGTATATTTGTAAGCTATCAGTTTCACTTATCAAAGCAAAACTAGATTATTTTACCAGTCATTCTCTAAGAAACTTAATACATTTGTCATTATTAGCCATTTTTATTTTCTGTATTACATTTAAAAGATTAAAAAGTCAAGTATTAATAGGAGAACAAAAAGTTCAGAATCTCATGGCTAATTAACACTTGCTGAGGTTTGAAGAAATAGTAATATGTATATGACATTACACACAGAGAGTTACAAGTTGAAATGAAAACATCTGCTTTCCTCCTTATCCCTGTGTCTTTACTTCAAGAACTATAACTGTTTTTTATGAATCATTCCAGAAAAAAAAATAGAATATATTTATTATTTAGACAAGTACTTTCTCATACTTAAAGTATTTTCTACTTTTGATTAACAGCCTTTGCAAATAGTTTATGAAAATAAGAGTCATGTTGTAAAAGTAACTATAGACAAGGAATAATTTGCTATAGAATCAACCGTACCATAATCAGTGATTGGATAATTTCTTAGGTGGCTTCATGACAGTGAATCCTAACATTTTAAAATAGTGGACACAGGAAGAGAAATTGGATTTAAGCTGATAACATATACATAGGATAAATGAGCTAACTTTTCTCCATGTGGCAAACAGACTACACAAAACAATTTGAGAATTCAGTTGCTTGTTTAAAATACAATTTTGAGAAATAAGCTAGGTAAGGAAAAGTGCTAAGTAACTTTTTTTTAAAAAGCTCATAAAGTACAAACTCCAGCATCTCTCATAAATCAAATAAATTTCTTTAAAAGTTTAGTAAATTCATTTAAACTCCAATTTCCTAGCGTGGATTAAAGCTCAAACAAAAATCCACCTAAATACATATGTAGTGTATCTATACTCAATTATGAAATCCTAGTACATAGGTGATGATATCAATCTATTAAATTTAAGTTGTACCTATAATTGATGTTTAAAAATCATAGTGTTATGGAGAGCTGTGTGGAGATTTCTGGACCTACTAAACATAGAGCTTCCATATGATCCAGCAATTCCACTCCTAGGTATTTACCCAAAGGACACAGAAACATCAATTCCAAAGAGCACCTGCACCCCTATGTTTATAGCAGCACTGTTTACAATAGCTAAGCTTTGGAAACAGCCCAAATGCCCAAAAATAGATGACTGGATCAAGAAGATGTGGTACATATATACCATGGAATATTACTCAGCATTCAAAAAAGATAAACACATGCAATTTGCAGCAACATGGATGGCACTGGAAGGGATCATGCTCAGCGAAATAAGCCAAAAAGAAAAAGAAAAATACCGGATGGTCTCACTCATAGCAGGAATCTAGAAAACTTAAATAAGGGACCAGGAAAATGAATATAAGAAAGTGAAAATCAAAATCAACAAAAAACTATGAACCAGAGACACTTTTTGGGGGGTGGGGGGCGGGAGGGGAAGGACTGGGGTCAGAATGGGGCGTTTGCAATTGTATGGGGGAATATAAAAATAAAATTTAATATTTAAAAAAAAAAAAATAAAATAAAGTTAATAGTGCTTCATAGGGACCCCATTTGTGGCAATAAAATTTGCAAGTAGGCACGAGCAAAAAAAAAAAATAAAAAAAAAAAAAATAAAATAAAAATCATAGTGTTGCAAATGCAAAAGGACAAATGGATAAAACATCTTTTTGAATATAATGAATAGATAAGAATAATTGTAGTTTGTAATATACAGAAAAAACATCTTAAATTAGGGATATTAAAGCATCTTTAAGAAAAGACCAAATTTAAAGCATAGCAAATACTTAGCAATATTTATTTCTTCATGTAACTGCAACCTGGTGGTTCACAGTTTGAGACAATTCCAAATGCCTAAAACTGAACATTCTAGTTCTACTAATTATTTGCTTAAGGAACCCTACTAAGGTCTTATTTTCAATTGCAAATAAAACTCTACTTTTATCAGATAAGGTTAATAAAAACATTATTGTCAAGTTAGTAATGACAATAGTTAACATTTTTTGAGGGTTTACACCAGGCATTATTCATTTAATTTTTACAACCCCATGAGTAAAGTATAATTATTAACCCAAATTTTATAGAAGAGAAAATCAAGAGAAAGGTCAGAGAACTTGACCAAAGTGAAGTGCATATTATAACTAAGTTTGCTTCTTTTTAGCTATACATGTTACAGGAATAACTTAAAAAATAGGATCAGTGACACAAAGAAAAATGGAAACCCCTTATTAGGTGAGTTGGCAAAGATATTATTAACAAAATCACAATGGAATACATCCAATCTCTCAGGAAAGTCAGCAGAAAAATTCTGATCCTTTCTATAGATTAAAAAAAAAACGCAGAATTGTGTGTATTATATTGATATAAAAGAGAAAAACTTACTGATATGACTTTCTAGTCCTGCTTCTAATTTTTTAAGCCACAATAAAAGATTTTGTTCTGTTATAGCCTGGTCTGAAGGAAATGCAAATACTTGTCCACCTGAATGCAAATTCACAACAACAAGAAGAGGAAGGGGAGGCAGGGTGTCAAAATACACTTGTAAGATTCCTCTCCCCACAGGAGTATTCTTGCTGTAAAAGGAAACCATTGAAAATGTTAATATTTCTATAACAAAATTATGAAAACAATAGTTTGCAGAACATTAAACTTTAAATATAGTATCACATCAATGTTTATTTTATGAAAAGACGTCTGTAAAACCAAGAGGTTTATAAGTAAGTTATTGATAATCAAATTCAAAAATGATTTTTTTTGCAGGAGCCCTGTATTTCTCCTAGTAGAAAAAATGACAGTACCAGTTTTAATGAAAAAACAGGCACAATTCAAAGAGTTATCAATTTAGATTTGATATAAGAAATAGATTTCTTCCAAAGTTACTATACTGTATTTGTCAAAAGTTTTTCTTTGGACATCAATTACTTTTATAATCAAAAACAATTATTACTTAGAAAAATGTATAAGCCCAAAAGAAGAGACAATAAAAAATCAATAAACAAATGGGACCATAAGCAAACTAAAAGTTTCTGCACAACACAGATAGCTTTCAAGAAAATAAAAAGATAACCTATTGAATGGGAGAAAATTATATTTGAAAAACATATGATAAAGGGTTAATTTCCAAGTGATATAAGTAACTCAGACAACTCAATAGCAACAACCAAAAAGATCCAATTAAAAAATGGGCAGAGGAGGGGCCTCCCTGGTGGTACAATGGGTTAAGGACCGCATTATGAAGCAATCTGTAGCCTCTGCAGCACAAGTTCAATCCCCAGCTGGCCAGGAAGCAACCCACATGGTACAGCAGACCTCTTCTGACTCGCCCACTGCTTCCCTCAGCAGTGGATTTCAGTCAATCTGCCTGTTCTGTTCCCCACTCTCTCTGGTGAACCCTCTCACCCCCTGTATCTCTGGCCTGTACCCCAGCTCTTGTATGTAAAAATAAATAAATCTTTTTTAAAAAATGGGTAGAGGAACCAAACAAACATTTTTCCAAAGAAAACATACAAATGGACAACAATTGATTCAACATCACTTATTGGTGAAATAGAAATCAAAACCACATTCAAGATCATCCCAGACCTGTGAGAATGGCTATCAAAAAAGACAAGAAGCAACAAGCACTGGAGAGGATGTGGAAAAAATGACTGTGAGTGTGATAGTGCTGAGAATGTAGGATGGTCCAGCCCCTGTATGAAAGTTCCTCAAAATATTAAAATTAGGGCCTCCCCTGGTGGCACAGCAGTTGAGCGCTGGGTTGCGAAGCTGCCCGCAGCCTCTGCAGCGCCAGTTCAATCCCTGGCCACAGGGTGAGGGTCCCACATGGCGCGCAGACCTTTCTGCTGCCCGCTGCTCCCCTCAGCAGTGTACTTCGTCAGTCTGCCTGCTCTGCTCTCCCCTATGACTCTGGTGAATTCTCTCACCCTCCCGTACTTCTGACTATACCCAGTGCTTGTATAAATAAATAAATAAATCTTTTTAAAAAATATTAAAATTAGATGTTCCATATAACCCAGTATTCCCAGTTCTGGATACTTAGCCAAAGGAAATAAAAACAGAATATTGAAGAGATCTGCACCCGCATGTTCAATGCTGCACACTCACAAGCAAGATATGGAAACAACCTAAGTATGTGTCAACAAATGAGTAGTTAAAGAAGATATGGAATTCCTGTATAGTGAAATACTACTGAGTCATGAGAGAAAAAGAACTATTGCCATTTTGACAACATGGATGGGCCTTGAGGGCATTATGCAAAGTAAAATAAGTCAGACAGAGAAGACAAAAACTGCACAATATCATTTATATGGGGAATCTAAAAAAAGGTCAACTTCGTAGAAACAGCAGAAAATTGATTACCAGGGGCCAGGAGGTAAGAGAAATAGGAAGAGGTTAGTTAAAGAGCACAAACTTTTAGCTGTAAGATAAATAAGGTCTGAGGATCTAATATATAATATGGTGACCACAGTTAATAATACTTTTTTGTATAACTGAAATTTGCTAAGAAAATAGTCCTTAAATGTTCTCCAAATGTATATGAATATATATATATACACACAAATGTATATGTATGGTATGTATGTATATGTGTGGTGACATATATGTGTATGTGTATATGTATATGTATGGTGATGGATAGGCTAATTAACTTGGTGGTAGAAATCCTTTAACAATGTATATATAGCAAATCATCACTACCACACTTTAAATACTTCATAACTCTACTTGTCAATAATACATCAATAAAGAAAGGGGAAAAAATACCACTTGGCCAAAAAAAAGAATTTTATCATAGAATTAAATCTAAAACAAGATTGGACCATCTGAGGGAACTTAGTTACTAAAATATATGTATGGAAATACACATTGGTTCCATAATATTAACCCCATGATAGATTTAGAGAGTTTCATTGGTGAAAATGTCACAATAATTATGCTTTAGTTACCTTTAACATAATAAAAAATAAAAATATACTTACAGATTTAACCAACAAGGGGTAAGTGAATCCAAGTGCTCATCTTTTACCAGCTTCAATATTGTTTTTTCATATTGAGGATTTATGTTACCATCACTGAACAAAATAAGTAATGGTTTCTGAAGTCTTAAATATGAGGGAAGATTTTCCACAGTGATTTCTGGCTGTAAAAGAAAAGACTGTGCCATATTAGCCAACATACAGAAAACACATGAAATCCATGTCATTTGCAGCAACATGCATAGAGCTAGAAGGGATTATGCTACAGGGAAATCAGCCAGGAGGAGAAAGTTAAATACTGCTGGGTCACTGACATATGAAATATAGAAAAAACAAACAGAGTCAAAGACAAACTTTAAAGTCGGCCCTTAAAAGCTAAGCATAGAACTGAGGCATCCAAAGGAGGATGGGTAGGGAAGGGACAAGGAACAGGTTTGGGAGTGAGCACAACAGACTGGTGGGGGACTGTGGGTGCCTTGCTGGTGGGTATGCTATGCCAAGGTGACTATGCCTGAAGAGGGAAATCCTACACTTCCAAAATGCTAACAATGATGTAAACCAATGGTACTTCAATAAAATCTTTTTTATAAAGGTAAGCTGAGCTCTTTAAATCTTTTAATACCTATGCTTACTTACAATTAAATTTTACTTTTCAATATCATGGACTTTTTACTAAAAAAAATTAAAACAAATCAAAAAACCTACCTCATTTCTTTTGGTTTCAAAATAACTGAAAGAAAGAATTTAACAAGAAATAAGGTATCTTAACCTTTTACCATTTTTATTAAGGGAGAATAATCATTTTTCATTTGTAGAAGACAATTTGTCTAGGCTGTTAACATGAACTGGAAAGAGCAACAAACGCTGCTAATATATTGTGGGCAAAATATAGCAATGATTTAAGATATTTAAATCATCAACCATTTTCTATTTTTACCTTCATCTCTATTGGTTTATCTTCTGGATATACCTAGGAGTCCAATTAAATCATCCTTTATCAGATAAATAATCCTAAACTGACAGATGAGGAAAGCAACACAGAGGAGCAAACTTGCTAAAGTCACACAGCAACACAGAGAAGAGAGTGAAACTAGACCCACGTCATACTGAATCAAAAAAAAACCCCAATATTTTCCATGCCTTTCAAAAGTTCATGCTTTACAGAAGACAGGTATACAAATTGCTATGATTTTAGAAAAAAAATCAAGTATGGAACATGGAAACATGGGGAAAAAAACATGGAAACCTATTGGGTCAAAATTTAACATGCTAAAAAGCAACGTAAGAAGTTCATGGATGATTTTAGGAAGTGATAATTCAGTTGGCCCAGGGATAAAGAATAAGCTTTTGATAGACTTGAGGTATGTCCTAGAGCAGGGCTTCCAGATAGAGGGATCATTGTGAGGACAGGTGATGGTGTTAAGGCATATGCAACATCTGGAGAATGGAGAATGAAGTATGCCAGGGGCCAACAATAGAATACACAAAGCTCTGTATACACTATACACCTACTTCATTGGGTTTTCACAGTAATGCTAAGGCAGATGCTACCACCACCTACATTTTATGCAATTGGAAACTGGAGCACACAGAAATTAAGGTGCAGTGAGTAGGGAAGTGAGCAAGGATGTGAAGCCAGGCACACTGAATCTCTGGAATCCAGATGCTTTATACCAAGTTTCAGCCTAGATTAAGTAGTTCAACTGGCCACCAGCCACACTATTCTCCACAATAAAAATAACCCAAAGACATGTAAACTTTTGGCAGTAGACTAAAGAAGCTGTATGCATAAATGAGTGAACCATAAATTAGAGTGAAATAAAAACCACTGAATCATCAGTTTATAGAATATCATGTATCCATTGTGCCAACAAAAGCCAGAAAATCATTTATTATATTATCTTTAACTGATCTAGATTTTCTCACTTCAAACAACACACTAATTATCAAGTATACTCACAAATGTTTCCAGGAATGCATTTGTTATTATTTGAACTATGTCCTGAACGTGGGTGTTAACTAATGGAATGCTCTCTATTTTGTCTTCTTTGTGTCTGGCAAGCAGCAGGGCTGGTAGAGGCGCAGAGTATTTATTTGACCTGTGAAGAAATGTAGTATTAAAATTCTCAACTAGAATATAGAAGTCATCAAAAATATAAACAATTAAGGCAGAAGATTATAGTGGGAGGCAGACAAATGGGAAGTGTTCCTACTAAGTGAAAAATGAATTTCAGACAAACAATCTTCTATGTGAGGCTCTCTGAGGAAGTTCAGGAGCCTTGACAAACGCAGATTAAAAGAAAGCAAAAGATAATCTAGGCAGAATTTTTTTTTCTACATAATTTACTCATCAAGTAAATGTCTAAATAGGATTTGAAACACATTGACTGAATGGTTCACCAACATTTTGGACAGTTCCACCATACTGCTGAGCAAGGAGATGGGCATTTATTACATTTAGAAGCCTACAAAGTACTAACATAGGCACTTTAAGTCTTTGTTGAATCCTCAGGACAGTTCTATTAAGAAGCCACTATCAGGTCTCCCTGGTGGCCTAGGGGTCAAGTCTCAGCACTCTCACCACTACAGCATGAGTTCTATCCCCTGGCACAGTACATCTTTCTTGTCTCACGGCTGCTCCCCTCAGCAGTGTATTTCAGTAAACCCACCTGTTCTGCTCCCCACTCTCTCTCTGGTGAATCCTCTCACCCCCCGCACCTCAGCCTACACCCCAATTCTATGCAACAATTAAAAAAAAGAAGGAACTATCACCCCCATTTTACAGATGAGGAAACCAGGACTCACAGTGATAAATTAAAAGTTATGTTGCTGCCCTATCTTTTTCAATTGTGTAAAGACAGAATACTATTTTGCAAACCTTTTCCTCTCTAAAGTTAGAAGACCAATAAACTTACAGTATCAGAACATCTTCTTTAGAATAAAGTCCAGTGATAACACATCCTTTTAGGTAGGTTCCTGCTTCAGTGAAATCTTCTTTTGCTATAAAAAGACAAAACCCAGAAATTTTCAAAATTATGTGTGCTATTCAACAGATGAGCAGGTCTATCAATGGAAGTGCTTTATTAATTACAAAAATAAGTATTCAAGTGCAGACTTTACATAACTTAGTGGTTTGAAATAAATCTGTGTTCTTTTTATGACAGTTGATTACCACAGAAGCATAAATTGATACAATGCAACTATGGTTCCCAAAACAAATATACTCTAAATGTAATTTGTAAGATTTATAGCACTCTAATCATAGAGATTTACTGAATAAATATTTATTGCTTTTTAATTTACTGTAAGGCAGAGTAATTGGAGACAGCTGACCTATATGCATTCAGGATAGAGAAGCAGGTATGTGTCATAATATACACACCATACCCACAAAATTTTAAAGTGCCGATATATATAGAAAAAAATAGAACACTGGAAATCTAGCCTTCTAACAATGCTTTGTGAGGGTTTTGTGTCTTGTTTTTGTTTTTACTTCCAGAATCTTATATAATGTGTTTCTGTTAGTTTTGAACTAGGATGTTTTTGTATGTTAGTCTTTCTTCATTTGTTCTGTTTCACATATTCAAAATTAAAATTATTGTTTCTGTAGATTTCTGCACACATTTTCATAAATAATAACAAATTCTGGATAATACTAGTAACCATCTTACAACACAAAAAGCAAGTTTGAGTTAAATAGTTGTAGACTAATAATGAGAGAGAGCAGAGGTGTATTTATATAAATGATATATCCTTGTCAAGTGAAGGCCAAAGAGTAGCTCAGCTCACTGCAAGAATGGGACACAGGATTCAAACAGAAACAGAAAGATGATGATGGAAGAATTGATTCATAAAGCACCTTGTAATCTGTGCATGTTGAACCCCAAAGATCCATACCTTAGCAGTAAGCATGTATTTATGGTGTGAAAATTAACACTTCAACATCAGGTAACCACAAGATCATTTTCTCTTAAAAGGATGCAAACTTTTCACAAAATTAAAAACCAAGTATGCAGGAAAGGGCAATCAGCAGCTCATTTACATTGATTTTAATGAGAAACTATTAACCCATCAAAATATTTTCCTTAGCCAATGCTACACCAAAGTAGAAAAAATTTACAAAAAATGACTCGGTGCCTATACTTCCATTTCTAAATTCTGATCAATAACTGATTATCTACAGCAATTATATAACAGAATCTGTTTCTGCTTACCTTGGTTTTTTAAGTAACAGCAGAATATTACACTAGTATTGCCACATAATCTCTTCATACAGAAGAAACCTCTCTACTCAAGAATATTTTTAAGGCTATAGACCTCAGATTCATACCCATTTCCAATAAATCAGAATGTAAATTTTTCCCTGAACATTTAAAACCAGGTATATTCTTCTCCTTTTTGGTGAAAATTACTATCAATCAGAATATACGGCAACTCCAGACATAAGGAAATATTCAATTATCTAATAAAGTTTTTTAAGCCACTGTAAGTATATTTGGGGTGTAATATTAATGGTGATCTACAATATTTTGTTTATCCATAAACATATTTTAATTGCAGACAATAAATACATTCACTTAACATTACTGTTTTTTTTCCACTATCACATTTTATTAATGGTCTTATTTATACATACTTTTAAGATCTACTTTTAAACTCTAGATCTATTTTTAAGCTCTGTCAGCAGAAAGAGTAAAGAATTAAGACTACTCCAAAGTAGAATCCAATTTTAAAAGCAATCTTAGATCCAATCTTAGATCTTTGTTTCTAAATTCAATATCCCACAGAAAGGTTCCTGGCTCTTTGGAAAAACAGATGATTCTAGGAATAGGGATAGGAAGATCTCATGCCAAAAGGACATATTCAAAGAATCATGGAGATATGTCAGACAGGCATAGGAGTCAGAATGAAGGGGTGTCTACCAACCCATACTGAGACAACTGGAGCAAACTAATGATAGTAACTGATCACCTATTGAATAAAATAATATTCAGGTATCCATACTGATAAACAAATGAAAGGGAAAGCTCTTTCTTATAGTAGTATAAGAATAGTATAAGTATAGTATATAAGTATTATTACAACTAATAATGTAAAAGGAATAATGAAGTTAGAAAATTTCCACCTGGCAGATATCACAATAATAGTTTTTTCAAGCAATGGATTCTAGAAATGGAATACAAAAATACAATGAAAAATAGATTATTTATAGAGTTTTAAATTATCTCATCACAGGTATTTATTAATTACAAAAGAAAAAAATAGTAGCTTTCCAGTACAGGTATCCAGCTGATACACCAGTGGACAGATAATAGACATTTCTGCCCTCATAGAAATAACATCATATTAGTCTTCAGATATTAAAATCTATATGAATAAAAAATCAATATCTGACATAAAATAAGTGCTCAACAGATGTTAAGAGCAGTTGGCTTTTTTGAGTGACACAAACATACACAGATATGTTAATAAATTCATAATAGCCTTTCATTGTTATACATTTTCTCATTCAGTGGACACTGAAAGACCAGGAACTATCAAGTGAATGCCTCCAAAAAATAAAACAAACAAACAAGAATAAAGACAACCTGATAATAGCTGACTGGAAAGGCTGGGAATAATTAATTGAATTAATAAAAATATCATATCCAGATGCTATCATTCTGGATCACTAGAACCACCTAAATATAATTAAACATTATGCTTTTGACTTCAGTAGAGATAGTTACATGCAAATTTTATCTTCATTTGTACAGAAATATGATCAGTACACTGTTCCTTATGTTGATCTCCTATATAAAACAGTATGAAAAATTTCTCTCAGCACTTACAATCAGGGAGAAGTCTTGTCTATGGGTGAGTCAGCATCCTAACTTCTAAGTTGCCATTTATTTATCATTTAAAAATATGATAAAATGTAAAATTTTCACCACTGTTTCTAACTGCTATCAGATTACTTATGAAGTTTTATTATCAATATTTGTTTTCTAGATATTCTACATAATTATTCCCTACTCTTTTATTGCTTGATTTTTATATTTGTTTAAATGATTTTATTGTATTTGTGCTTTTTATTATCTGAAGACTATTTTTTGAAACATGCCTAGTGTAAATAACAAATGAAAATTTCTGGGCATCAGCATGTGAGGTAGATAAAAGGCAAGGTCAACAGTAAGAGCAAAAACATTAGAAACAGAGAAGTAAAGCACAGGCTCGTTCACCGCATGATTTTTCATAAAGACCGCAAAATAAAAGGCTATGTTCTCCAGGGATTTTGTCTAAGAAGGTAAGCCATAGTATACACATTAATATTCTCAGTATTTCTTTCCAATAAGCTCTTTTCACTTTTATTTTAAAATATGTTTAACACCAGGTAGAGGGGGCAAATTACTAGACTTAAATTTGTAGAAAAGTTAATTAGTATTTAATATTATCCACTCTAACGCAAATAATCACAAGTGTATCACTGGACATGGGAACCTCTTCCTATACCAAAATTCTTAAAATATTTCTCTCAATTTGAAATTCATCTTAAATAAGAGAAAAACAAGAAGGGATCACGATGGCTCACTGGGTAAGAATCTGTGCTAGGTAAGAGCCAGCATGTGATAAAAAACACTGAGGATTTTGTTACCTAATGAAGAGGCCATCCATAAACAACAGCAAGAGAAAAATATTTTCACCAATATTATAGGTCAGGAAAAAAAAATAAACCTATTGTAACTTCCATTTAAGGGTGAAATATGTGAAAGACATTCCCATGAAGCAAGAAAAAAATATAAAGAGTAGGAGTCTAAGAAAATATTAAGGGAGAAAGTGAATGGCACAGCCGTTGATGTGGGTACTCACCCCAGCATATTCTTTCGCTGGTACCATAAATTTAATTTTGAAACTACAGAAAAATTGAAAGACTGGTAGCTATCACCAGACAAAGACCATAAAAGGATCCTAGAACACAAAGCCAAATCTTGCCACATAGGAAAGAAAGAGGGCTAATGCGAGGAAGAAACAATTGAGGAGATACAGGAGTAAAGTAATCTCATATACAACTTTCATTAAAAACTGCTAAAATGAAAAAAACAGAAAATAACAAGTGTTGGTGAGGATGCGCAGAAATCAGAACCTTTGCACATTATTGGTGAGAATGTAAAATGATACAACCACCATGGAAAACAAGGAGAGATTCCTCAGAAAGTTAAAAATAGAATTTCCATATGACCCAGCAATTCTGCTTCTGGGTATATATCCACATGAATTGAAAGCAGGGTCCCAAAGAGATCTATGTACATCTATGTTCAGTGCAACATTATTTACAGTAGCCAAGAAGAGGTGGAAATAATCCAGTGTCCATCTACAGAAGAATGGATAAATAAAATGTAGTATAGATATTCATCCTTAATAATGAGGGAAATCCTAAGACATGCTAGAAATGGATGAACCTTGCAGACATTATACTAAGTAAAATAGACTAATCACAAAAAGACATACTGTGTGATTCCACTTTTATGAGGTACCCAGAGGCAGTTGCCAGGGGCTACAGGAATGCAGAGTAGTTGGCTAATAGGTACAATGATTCAGTTTTTCCTGAAAAAGTTCTGGAGATTATTTAGACAACAATGTAAATATACATAATATTAGTTTACTATATGCTTTAAAATGATTAAGATGGTAAATTTTATTATATGTTTTACCACATTTGAAAAAAGATTAAGTTATATTCAAAGCAAGAAGAAAATATATATTAGAGTAGGACAATATTATAAATGAAAGTGAAATGAAAATATAGGTGAATATTAAGGCTGATAGAGATTTTCTATTAGCTAAAAGCAATGGAAGAACTCTCAAACTCAATAGATTTGAAAACAAGTTTTAAACTGCTACACATAAAATTATTATTAAACAAAGTTAAAAAGCAAGCAATGAAATAGGGGGAAATTATTTGAACAAAATGACAAAAGCATAATAATCAAGTATATAAAAACTCTCATAATAATTCATTAGACAAAGAATAAAACTCCATTTTAAAAGTAATGCATATAACATAAAGTGTATAGAAGACAAAGTTATTGTCCCACAAGAAGTCTATTAGCTCTACTACACAAAGATTCATAAATAAAATTATTTTTAGTAGCACACTGGGAAAAAGGAAAAAGGAAACAACGTAAATATTGTTTATTGGTAAACAGCTAAATTATGGCTTATTCATTATATCAAATATTATAGAGAGATGATTTTTGAAGACATAATCACCTGGAATAAACTGCACCGATATAATATTAAATAAAAATAGCAAGACATTAACCTAGAAGTAACCCAATTACATTAAATGTTTATAAATATGCAATAAATAGTACACAGAAAAAGAGGGAAGGAATTGCATCAACATTTAACAACTCTAAATAATTAGAGGATAGTTTTAATTTTTTTCAAATGTCTTTGTATTTTCAAAATTCCGTGTAAGTTATCTTTATTTAAAATATTATTTTAAAAAGCAGTAAACAAAATTTTAAGTATCTATTGTGTAATTTAAAAGGTCAACTCTACTTACCTGTTGTCATGGTTGGACTAAATAATCCCAGTACTGACACACTAGAATAGGAGATCAGGTCTTTATATAATTTCCCACTTAAATATTCTTCTGCTTCTTGGACAGATGTTATGGTCACTGGGCATGAAATCCTGTTACTAAATGAATATACAACTACAATCAAAATTAATTTTGAAAGAAACTCTTCAGCTTATAAAAAAACAACATTGAATTTAGCAATCACTACTTCCACTGGATAAATATCTGGAGAAATGAAGACAATTACATACTATTCTTTTTTATTTTTAAAGATTTATTTATTTACGCATACAAGAACTGGGATGCAAGCCAGAGGTGCAGGGGGTGAGAAGTTTCACCAGAGAAAGCAGGGAGCAGAACAGGCAGATGTACTGAAATATACTGCTGAGGGAAGAGGAGGATGAGACAGGAGAGGTCTGCTGCACCTTGTGGGTTGCTCCCTGGCCAGTGGGGGATACAACTCCTACTGCAGTAGCTATTGATAGCTTGATAGCATTATCTTTAACCCCTGGGCCACGAGGGAGGCCCAATTACTAACTATTCTAAACAAAAAAATCACCCTCATTAGACAAAATATCTATTGCCCCTAAACTGATGGAATGTAGATAGGTTCTCCTTATTGTTATTTATCCTTTCATCTCATTTATAGTATCTGCTTTCATCTATTCAATGTGTGTCAACAAAGTATGGGAATTAGGCTTTTATAGACCTAAATAATTTAAACATTTAAGATGTAGGTGAATACTTACAGGTGGATAAATTTTAGGAGTTCTTCAGTTCCTAACATACCAGCGTAAGATACTGGTTTCTTGCCTTCCTTGTATATCTTTACAACAGGAAATTCAGTAACATTTTGCTTAGTACATACATCAGACCAATCTGCACAGTTTACTCTAGTAAGCAGCATAGTGGATTGGCCTAAATAAAAGGAAAATGCACTTTTATAAATGTTAATGAAGAAAACTCAGTTGTTGAGAATCATTAATATTTTTATTTTTATAACCCCATTTTAACTTAACAACATAATTTTTTTCAAATGTCTTATTTTAACTTCTTAACAATGTAAAACACACCTGCTGACATACCTTGATTTTTTGCAATACCTTTCCCTACTTCTTTCCCACCTCGCTACCAGCTCTTGTTTGATCCCTTTTGCAGCCTCTTTGCCAGTACAACTGGAAGTTCAAGGTTTAGCTTAAGATGGCTTGTCTTCTTGCTCTACACTCTCTTCCTAGATAATCTAAATAACCATTAACAATCTAAATTTTTTGCCCAGAGTCCTCTGTAAAGTTCTAGACCCATGTATCCATACTGTTTCTCAATTTCCTCTCAGTATCTAAAACCAACTATTGTTTCCTTCCTGTATATATTGGTGAATACTGCTATTCCTGTAGAACTCAAAAAATAAAGTATTATGTTTCATGCCTCCCCATTCCTAAGCCTTCCATGTCTAATAAAATCAGTGTACATATCCTTTCAACAATACCATCTAATATTTAGTTATCTCTTCATCTGTCCATTTCTCTTTACTAACCATCATTTCTTCTGGATAACTACAAGAGGCTCCTAATTCATCTCCCTGATTTCAATGTTTCTACACTGAAGCCAGAGATAGCTAGCTAGAATTCAGTATGTTTCTACAATGACGTTAGAGATAACTTCTCAAAACTCAAATACGTTTTGTTTCCAGCCCACCCCCACCTGAGTGTGGCCTTTCTCATCCCTTCAGATCTCTGCATATGTGACAACTTCATGGAAGACTTCTCTAATACCCTCATCCTCATCAGGTTTCTATGCTCTTAGAGAACTGTTTCCTCCCTTATCTCATTATGTAATTATGTACACATCGGTGTGGTTATGTGATTAATGGCTCTCTCTATCTACTCCTGGAGAGTAGGAACTGTGTCTGTTTTCCTCATCATTGATTTTCCACCATCTGGAGCAGTCTGTGCACATGATACAGCTTATGCAGGTGAATAAATGACACACTTGAAACTCATTTAGGGCTCTGGGTACCCATCCTGTCTGTATAATGTAATTTCCTCTCAGCTTAGGAAAATAGAGTGGATTCCCACAGAAAACTCCTACTTGTTCTATAACAGACTATGTAAAGTTCTCCAAAATATCATTTCATTGGATAGAAAGAGTCAAAATCTAAATAAAACAAGCAACATATAAGTCAGCCACTGAAAGGAATAAATCCAAACAAAAGGAAACTTTTATAACATATTAGATCAAGGAAGGAATCTTTGTTTAACAATTTAGAATATATCCTAATTTAGGATGTAACCAAATCATAGGATTAAAATTATGAAATGCAATATTTTAGTATTTATCAATAAGTTTTTAATATTGAAAATTCACTTACATATTTTAAACTTTTGTAGATACAATAATTTATGACTTCAGATTTAGTGTTAGCAATCTTTTGGATAATACAGGTTGGTGTATTCTATCTTATTTGCCATTATGTATCTACTGCCTAGGACAATGTCAGTTCCATAATGTACCCAGAAAAAACTTGTGGAAAGTACCCTCATATTCCTTAATGAACAAATTGTCAATTTTTACACTAAGGTCTATCAGTACCTGAATATTGAGTACTTCACAAAGAGAAATCTTTATCCTTTCTATCATCAGATGTGCTAAGTGACTTCACGACCAGGTTCTCGTATCCTTTAGTTTAATCGGTTAGTCAATAAATAGCCAATGATGCTTGTTTATACAGTGTACCATATTATATTACCACCCAAGTATGGAATATAGTGTAATTACAAATGTAGTTCTTTCCCTTTGGTAAACTCCTATAACAGGTGATGACTGCAAAAAAAATTTTATGATTCTTTTGTCCCTGCAGTCCAAGTAGAAATCTTTGATGTTATCTTTAAACTGAAAAAAAAAAAAAAATACTCAAACATGTCACTAAAATTTAACAGAAGTTATCAGTTTAATATTTTATTTTCTGTCCTGTAAAACAGTTTTACTCTTTAATCATTTGAATTTGTCTTACATTCCATATACTTGATCAACACAGTGCTTTCTAATGGGATTTTGAATTTAAAGGGGAAAAAAAAATTCTCTTAAACTACCTAAGTATAAAAAAAAAATCTTGATATTTGCTGCCACCTTGTGACTGAAAATAAAAGTCTTCATCGTCTTGAACTAAAAGATGTAAAGTGGCTTTTCCCCAAAAGTATGAAAGGTTTAGGACTAAATATCTATAGTATTACAACAGTTTTCCTAATTCACAAAGTTGTAGTTTAGGTTTCAATTCAGACATAAGACACTGTAGGTAGCTTTTCAATGCATTTCTACATTGAGCCCCTTGTACTTTCAAAATATTTCATTATCTAAGATTTAACTAGTAAAAGATTGTTATTCATAAAGAACACACTAGTTGAAAAAGAAAACCAAGTCCTAGGCTGTTTATCTGATTTTTCTACATCCATATACAAATCAGTCATTGCATTGACGATCAGGTAGTCTACTTTATTTGGTCATTAAAAGAGAAAAAAGTAAAAGAATCTTTTTCCATTTTCATTTGGTATCTAGCCGAATGGGTTGGGAGAAACCTATTCTATCATTTAGCTACATTATCCAATTACTATTTCATTATGGTTTTTATTTTCACCTGCCTTTTACTTTCTTCTGATTACATGCAAATAAGAATGGAGAACTTAAAAGAAATTTAAATATGCCCATAGACTGCAACTATAAAGGAGAATCTGAAAGAGAATAGGAGGATTTGCTTTTTTCAAAAGTTGGGATAACCCTTAATCATCACTTTATTTGGGTAATGAAATAATCAAAAGTTAGATCAAATGTGGTTGGGAATTGAATGGAGGAGAAATAGTTCAAAACCTGTCTTTTAAATCTCTGATTTTATTACATGTTACATTTAGGGTTGATTTCCTAGAATCAATTTTCTGAATTCATAAAAGTCTCCAACATATAACTCATATACCAGTACATGTTTTCCACTAAATAAAACAAAATTTGTGAAACTCTGCTATATTAGCTTATTCATTTAGTCAACAATTATTAAAAAACATATTCTGTAATGTAAGGCAAAGCACCAAGTCCAGTAAGCTAGATAGAGGGTGCACTCAATAATGAAAGAACCTGTAAACTAGTATCCCAAAAAACAAATGGCAGTAGATATATTCCCAGAGTAAGCCAGAATAAACCTATTTAGCCATAATAGCATTTATTTATAAGGAAAACAAACTAGGAGGAAACCATATCTAACACAAACAATACGTCCTGTCTTATTCAAATGTTTATAAAACATTAGACACACATTATACACACATTATTTCTCTTACTAACAGGCGACCTTACTTCTCTCTATTGCTTTGTTCATTTGGGGGTATGGACATTTTGATTTACAGTCCATTCCTTGAATTACTTGCCTACAACTAAATCAAGTTTCATGAGACAACTAAAATGAAAAGATCCTCGCTAATAAGAAATATTCTAGACCATGAAGAGTTAAGTACATAGAGTCAAGAGCACTGGGATCTTGACTTTTCATCGGACTAGGTGAGAATAGGTCTTACCTATCACATTTTCATTTTACAATATTTAGTACTTATTTAATAATATTTATCATATTGGATTAACTTGTAGCTACAAGTCCTTAATGCGCTCTCTACATTCTCTTAAAGATAGAAAAGTTCCATGAAGACAATCAGAGTAAATCCTTCTGGATATTTTGAAACTCATGGTTCATTAAGTTAAACTTGGAGACAAAAAAATAACTATCTGAGGCTTTATATTCAGCATATTTAGTTTTTTAGCATAGCAGTTTTACAAATAGTTACGACTTAAAGCAAGAAAATAAGCATGCCTACCGCCGTACAATACCTTTCAATTTAATTGCCACATCAATATAGGATTGCAGAAATGCCATGGATACTGCTTGCCCTATATTAAAATAAAAAATTCAACATATATTGTAACATGCATATCTCCAAAGTGTCTAAAGTTATAAATAACAGATTTGTGGAGGTTCCCAAAGTTGTTATTACTTAATAAATAAATCTTAATAAATGTTATTACTTAATAGATAATAAATAAGTCTAGTATTCAATATTATTCAAACATTTAAGAGAGTTCCAAATGTAACTAATTTTCTGCATTAATACTGCAAGAAATATAATTGAAAGGCTATTATTTGAAGATATAAGCAATATATGAAAACTATAAGAACTATTAATATATTAAAAGCATTAGCTTTAATCAAAATAATATTTCTAAATAAATAAGCTAAACATCTGCCATAATCATTAACCTTCAATTTGTAAGTCAGATATACATAATCAGTTTTATAACCCCCCCCCCCAAATCAGCTAAATAAGTAAATGTTTCAATATATACTTTCTACCTGGGACATATAAGAGCAATGCCATTTACAACATGAAATATACAGGATGCAAAAATAAAATGTGTCTACTTCAAGTGTCCAATATGTAGTATAATCGCCTGTTAGGGCTCATACTCACAGCCAGCATAGAAAAGCACTATACTGTCAGAAGTCATTACTGTCGTATTAAATGTCTCTTCTGTTAGTTCCACTGTAAGTTCCAAAGATAACTGTGTCTTCCTATCTCTGTAAACAGTTTCTTCCACCTCATCATCCTGAATATCTAGAATGTCTGTAAAGGAAAGAGTGTAAATACAAACATATGACTAAAAATATTTAAGTTCTCCCAGACAAGCATATGAATATTTGGCACTTAAAAACTTTGAATTCATACTACCTAAATACTTAAAATGCACAATATTTAGAAAACTTTCCAGTTTTCTGGTTTCTTATCTTAAATAACATTGAGGTGCTTCCTGACCCAGAAACTGAAATTTTAAGCAGTTCTATAGCAATTACTTAAACATGTATGTAAGTAATATGAATACTGATTTTTCTGTTCTAATAGATTTAGCAACTCATTATCCAAAATGGTCCTATCATATTTGACAGTACTAACTTAACTTCCACTATGACAAACACTGTTATAGTCAATAGGCAAAGTAAAAACAAAGAAGATACTGCACCAAACCACATAAAGCTATAGGATATTCAGTCAATAACTGATCACTGAATAAATATGTAATTATAAAATGTAATCAGTTTATTTTTAAAAATGTAAAGATACAGTGAGTTTCTAACAGGAAAATTTTAACTGGAAGATTCAAAATCTACCAGATAGTCAAGAAAAGATATTTTTCAGGCAAATAGAATAACACACGCCAAGGCTCAGAGTTATAAATGGCCTCAGCATATACTAGGTACTGAAGGAAAGAATTTGACTAAAACAAGATGGGCTGAAGGAATAAATGGCATGAAAAAACTCTACGCTATGCAGTGGCTAGATCATAAGAAGACATAACAGTCAAAAATTTATTCTGGATTTTATTTTAAATGCATTGAGTCACAGTTAGATTTTGAATATATTAAAAACTCAAAAACTGCAATATATACAAATCTCAAATCATTAAGTTATACACCTGAAACTAATATAATATTGTCAATTATCTTTACATTAAAAAATTTCATTAACACAGATAGGTAAACAGACCTAACCACCCACCCCTCCACCTATCCATCCATTATCTATGTACATGGTAAAAAACATATTTTGAATTTGTAAATATTCCTTTTATAAAAATTATATGGTGACACAGAGTAGCATCTAACTTGATTAGAGACACAGTTTCCTAGAGGAGTTGACACTAGCCGAATATTAAAAGAAAAATAAAATTTAGGGAGGCTATAAAGAGAAGCAGTAGAAGCATATATAGCAAATAGAACTGCATACACAAAGGCACTGAAAGAACATGATGCAAATAGAATTGCCCATGTTGACTACATAGGTGATATTAAAAATTATTTTCATTTTATAAATGCAGTTAATATGATAATTTTAAAAGGAGATCCCTGTAACCCTGAAACACACAGGGAAATATTTATGGATAAAATTATGATTGAGATTTGTTACAAAATGATAAGGGATGGAATAAATGTAATAGGATTATCCATAGGCTGATGGTGGTTTTGGGACACCAGCTAATAGTTAATGGGGAATTCATTCTATTAGTCTGTCTACTTTATAGTAAATTCTTAATTCTCTAAGACAGCATGAAAAACGGAAAGGGAGTGAGGAAGACAATATTTAGAGAACTAAAGTATTATTTTCCATACAGTTTCTACTCCCACACAGAAAAATATTAGATTCTATAAATATTAGATTCAGCACCACAATTCTCTGGCTGTTCATATCTGCGAAGCATAACAGTTACACTATATTAATTTTAAGGTAATTTTAAACACTGCATTTCGGGCCTCCATGGTGGCGCAAGAGGTTACGACGCAACCTATGAAGCTCTCCACAGCCACTGCAGCAAGAGTTCGATCCCTGGCCAGGGAGCTACCCACATGGCGCAGCAGACCTCTCCTGACTCGCCCTCTCTGCTCTCCTCAGCAGTGTACTTCAGTCAATCTGCCTGTTCTGTTCCCCACTCTGTCTCTGGTGAATCCTCTTACCCCCCTGTATCTCTGGCCTGTAACCCAGTTCTTGTATGCATAAATAAATAAATCATTAAAAAAAATAAACACTGCATTTCATGACACTAAAAAATGTTGTGATTATCACAGAGGAAGAGATTGGGGGGTGAGATCAATGGGTAGAAGGGGTTATTTTGATAGTGATGACACGGGGAGCTTGGCAGTGGAGAGTGAAGCACACACAGGTATAGAAGTATGAAATTCTACTCTTGGAATCATAGTTTTGTAAAGGAATGGTAAATCAATAACATCTGGTTAAAAATAAAAATAATCCATTTTCTCCGACTTCTTCACAGTCTTGAGTAAGAATATATTTTATGATAATTCATTGACATTTCACTGACCTTATGGAGGCTGGGAAGGAATGGGGGGAGGGGTAAGTGTCACAAAATGTATTACCCATATCTGGATCTTCCATGTCATCATCGTCATCTTCTTGTATTTCCTCAGTATGTATATTGTTTTCCACACGGGATATTATTAAATCAACATCATGTAACACCAAAAATTCCACTGGCATTCCCTGGAGTTTTGAAAAACATGACTAAAATTTAACAAACCATTTTAACATGTTTTACTTGTTTGATGCAAAAATAAAACTAAGCTTTACAGTTTTAAAGTTAAATAGCAAAAAAGGGAAATTAATTCCAGAATCACTATAAAAAGCATCAAAATCACACTATATATAAGGATAGTGGGCATTAGTGAAAAAAAGATAAAAAAGATAGTCTCACTTGTTTCTTGTCACAATTGCATAATGCTTAAGTCTGAAGCATTTCACATATAACAAGTCCTGCCTCAATATAAAATGGAAATACATATAAATTTATTACAAACAGGACCAGTCAAAATTGATATTCCACAGAAATATTCAAAATAACTTTATCTGAAATAATTCCACCAGAATGGTAAATGTCTGTCTATAAACATAAAAGTATTATCTCTGCCTTCACCCCAGGTGTTTTAATACCAAATTTATTCTCTTGAGATTATTTCATTAAATTTCCTTTCACTAATGCCCAATTATCATATTTTAAGAAAATGAAATTTGGGGTAACTAGATTATTTTAGTAAGTTACCCCTGATGATAACTATACATTAAAGCCATAAAAGAACTGTTTGTTATTTGATATCACATAGTTTTACATTTTTAATACTGTATTCAAAGCAAGCAATTTTTCAGTCTTGCCAAAGCATAATTTAGTTACAGTGTAGAGGAATTAAAATCAATCAAACTGAATTTGTTTCAATATATATTGAAAATTTTGTGGTACACTTTTTAATTCAAGTGTAACATTCACACAGAAAAGAACAGAAATGGTAAGGGTATTTATAGTTTGATGGATTTTTACAAAGTGCATCCACCTATATGATCACCTTACAAATTAGGATCCAGAATATGAGTGTACCCAGAAACAGGCTCCTAGCTTCTCCCTACCATTATCCTTCCCCAAAGGTAATCACTATTGCATCTTTCATCACCCTCTATAAATTTTCCCAGCTTTTGAATATATATAATATAATGGAACAATACAGTTTGTTTCTTTTGTTCAACATTATTTGTGAGGTAGGTCCATGTTGTTACATCTAAAGACAGTATGTATATTGTTTTAGTTTATTCTTTTTCAAAACTGTGGAGTATATTCAATATATGAATATATTAGAATCAATATATCCACTCTACTCATGTAATATGTTATTTCCAGCCCGGGCCATCCAAAATAATACTGCTATGAATATTATTGTAGCTGTCTTTTGGAGCACACACAGACATATTTGTATTGCACAATACTGAGGAATATAATTGCTGGTTCATATAATACATGTAGCTTCAGCTTTAGTAAGCACTGCCAAATACTTTCCCATACTTCATTATAAAAGTGCTCACTCCGACCAGCAGTATAAGAGTTTCAGTAACTCCACATCCTTTTTAACAAAAGTAACAATACTTTTTTATTTAATTTTAGCCATTCTTGGGGTGAGCAGTGGTATCTCTTCGGTTTTTATTTGTATCTCTAGCAATAGATTATTCGCTAATTGGAAAGGGGGAAATATATCTTATGATGGGGAGAATTAGCTGTCTCATCTTAACTCAGTGATCAAACATGGCCTATAAGTGAGAAAAACAAATTTTAGGATAAGATGTAACATTAAAAAGTTAGCACGGAGTAGTCTTACCCAAAATGTTTAATGGATTTAAGGAATCTTAAATTTAACTTCTGCTTTTTTGAAAAATAAGGGAACAGAAGAACAACTAGACAACAGCAAAAGGAAACAGAAAATTTCAGAATATGAAAAACCTGGTCCCATTTATCCAAAAAGTCATTGTCATAGGTAGAAAAGGGACAGGAGAATCAAGATATTAAGAGCTTTAAGAAACATACTAAATGTAATTCATAATCCTTTAGTGGATTTTGGTTTACAGAAACATTTACAGAAAATAACCTTAGGGTGAGAAAATCTGAAGATATACTGGCTATGAGATTAGACTATGATACTAAGAAATGGTTAATTCTGTCAAATGTGAAGAGAGACTGTGACTATATGCAGGAGAATAAAGTAGTTTTTAGAGATTTATGCTAACTATTTATGGGTAAGATGTTATATTTGTAACATTCTTTGAACTGTTTCAGAAAAAAATTACAGATGAAGCAAATATGATAAAATGCTATTTATTGAATCTAGGTAGGAGTATACAGCAGCTCACTATATTTTTCTTTTTACTTTTCAGTTATGTTTGCTGTTTTATTAATACTAAAACATGTGAAAAAGGAATTGAAGGGTTTTTTAAATGTTAGATTCTAAGAAAGATCCAAGGGATTACCACCATTCCACACAATGCTATCCTATTATGAAAGTCTATTCCTCTTCTCAGGGCTCCTACATGTGTGTGTTTTCTCTGTGTTGAAATACGCTTCCCCCACATATCCATGGGTTCATTCCTTTGCTTTATTAAAGTCACTTATCAGTGTTGTTTTCCAAGGTTGACTTCTCACCTTAGTTTTTTTATTTTTTCCATTGCCCTTAGCACCACCTGACATTGTACCTATACTTGCATCTGTCTCCTACTACTAATAAAATTAGCTCCATGGGGACAAAAACTTGGTTTTGTTCACTGCTATATCCCTCAGAACCTGGGACTATAACGAAGCAGGTACGTGATAAACACATATTAAAAGCATAAATTAGTATTAGTTAATATTTATTGAGCACCTACAATGTGATGGGCTCTATGCTATGTAAGCACTTTATGTAATTTATTTTAATATACTGAGCCAAGTACTTAAAGTAGCTATTATTATCCTTGCTTTACAATGAAAAAAAAAAATGGAAACACAAAGAAGTCCGTTATTTGCCCAGCGTTACAAAGAATTTAAAACAGGCATTAAGATTCTGTAGCAGAGGTGCAGCAGACCTCTCTTGACTCACCCACTGCTCCCCTCAGCAGTGTATTTCGGTCGATCTGTCTGTTCTGTCCTCCACTCTGTCTCTGGTGAATTCTATCACCCCCCACACCTCTGGCCTGTACACCAGTTCTTGTATGCTTGACTAAATAAATCTTTAAAAAAATTATTTAAAAAAAAGATTCTATAGCATAAACTCTTAATGTTATGTTACTAATCACTGCATAGGGGGAAAAAATCTGAAAAACTAAAGTAATTCTAACAGAAGCATTTTATCACTCTTGCTACACAGATAAAGCTTTATAATATTGTACTATGAGTATATAATGCTATTTATGCAACCAGTCCTAGTACTTTAGGGACCTTCAAACCTTTTGCCTAAAGAGATGCAGGCAAGGATTATGCAATCCCAGGATCAACATTACTGCCTTGCTGAGGAAGTTAAAAAATATGTAAAAATAAAATGATTTGCACTGAATCCAATAGAAATTCACAGAAAAGTCTACTTTATCCTTTACAGAAAATATCTTTGTAGACAGCTCTCTAAGATATAATTTATCTTACCTTACACTATACAAAATTATTTGTATAATATTTTAACAACTTAAGACACTGAAACTCAGAAAGTTACATGAATTTTAATTCTCATACAAAACCCGTTTCCCAGTAACAAATAATTATAATTTCTTATTTAAAGATCTTTACCTACTAGCAAAAAAAAAAAAAAAAAAAAGGCTTCAGAAAGTATTTTTTCCATTACCTGGCCAAAGAGCAGAGCATACTTGGTCAATATTATTCACGTTTGAACCATACAATTACTTTCCTATTTGGTACTATAAAATTTCTTACAAGTTAGAAGGAGAGGCTTTCTCATTTCTCATAACACTAATGAGAAAACTGAACTTGGAGAAGTTAATTTATTTGATCCTCGAACTAAAAGGAATAGAATTCAAGTCTTCTGACTCTTCGCCTAGCCATAGATGTAGGCAAGATAACTTAAGTTTAAACTGTCTGGCAGTCTGTAAACACATCAGTCAAGTTTTTGTCATATTTATAAAATATTTAGAAGGTGTTTGAAATTAAAGTGTTCTTAATAAATGTAGAAAAATATAAGAAAAAATGAAAATAAACAGAAATTTACAAAGGAAATGTAAATGGCCAATAAGCCTTTTTTTAAAAAGTTCAATCTCACTAGTAATCAAAGACATTAAAACTGGAAAGAACTTTTGTTGAAGATGGTAATGTTCAGTACTGGCAAAGATGTATAAGAAGCACAAAATTCCAAGTCCTGGTGATACAAGTATGACCTTTCTGGAGGAGAATTTGACAATGTATTTAAAAGCTTTAAAAACCCCAATCTCCTTTGACAAATTTCACTTCCAGAAATTTACCCAAAGGTAAGAAACAGTGATGTTCAAAACAGTATGCAAAGGCAGGCATCATAGCACAACAGCAAACAATTAAATAAAATTTATTTGAAAATTTCTTTAAAATACATAAATAAATGAAATGGGCAAAGAGGCTGACAAATGAAAAAAATAATGCCAAAATGTTAATAGATATTTTTCTTGAATAGTGACAATTTACAGAATATCTTTTCTATAATAAGCATATGTTACTTTAGATCACATATGATAACTTTGTTTAAATAAGCAGATAGACACATTACAGATCAACACATCAAATGACTAACCTCTTCTGCTCTTTTGAAGACCACATTAGCATGCTGAGGAATGTCCACTTCCAAAGAGTCCCTTTTTCAAAATGGAAATAGATGTTTTATGTTGCTAATCTGATAAATAATAGTAATCCAGGATGTCAACATAAAATAGAACTGTAAGCTCTTATACTAAAAAGTGTATTTGAAAAAAAATTACAATTTAATGAGTCTGGTGAATTTTATACATATAGTCCAGATTTTCCATTCTTCATCTTCCTTTAGAAAAGTTTAAAGGTTTAAATTTTAATTACTCTAATAATCAATGTATAGACTTTAGCTTTGAAACTACTTTTAACTATAATTATATTTTAAAATGATAAAAATATTAGTGTTTTGCTAAATGTAGTATATATTTAATATTCAAGATACCTTAACAAGAGTAAAACTCCTGCTTTTCCCAGAAGACGCCAAGCAACCCATTCAGCAGTTCTTCTATCAGCTTCATATGTAGCTTGTTGACTAACAATAAAAACCAGTGGCAATCCTAGTTGGAGATGAACAGTTGAAACTTGTTGAGGTTCTTCAGCAACTTCAGTCTTAATGAAAAAAAGGAACAAAATGTTTTCAATATGTGATAATAATGTTCCAACATTTGAATTTAAATCCTGCTAATTCTTATTAACACAGTCATGAGTAAAAATTTAAGTATGTGAAATAAATCCAACATTAACAGATGGGATCTCATAATTTCCAAAGTTTAATGATCCCAATATACCTATACTTCTGGCATTATAAAACTAACAAATACTATAGAGTTAAACATAAAATTACAACCATAAGGAATAATATAAATCAAAAGAAAACCCCAATAAATGAGTGTGGTACTGATAAATATTTCAAATGAAATGGAACAGATAACTAAAGAATAAATTCTTACATATAGGAGGGGGCGGAGCAACATGGCGGCGAGGAGACACTGCGAGTAAGATCTCCCATTAAAAAAAGTGAATAGGGAGGAAAAGCGGCAGGTCCCAGTGAGAACTGGGACATGGAAGATAAACGGGTGACGCCAGCGAACTGCCCGAAGAAGAAACTGGCCATAAAAGAGGACTAGAAGGGAGGGAAGCGCAGAACCCTGCTCCCCTCCCCCGCCCACAGAGGCGGCACTCTCCGACCAGCAGAGAGGAGGAAACAACAAACCAAAACGGCCCACAAGAACAAACGACGCAGCAAGCGGGACTGTGAGTGGAAAGGAACTATTGCAGCCACCACACCCCGTGAACGGGAGCTGAGGCGAACCCTGCAGGATCCGCCGCGGCGGTGAGCGAACGGCTCCGGGCGCCATTAGAGAAGAACAAAGACCCCGGGAGACGCGCACACAGCCCGGGCTGCCGGTAAGCTGGCGCGGGAACGCGGCGCGCTCGGTGCGCTTGAAAAGCAAGTGCAGACCTGGATCTCGGCTGCCCAGGTCCCCGCGCCTGCGACCTAGGCTTGCGGGGAGACGACCTAGGCTTGCGGGGAGACGCGCCGAGGTCCTCACTGAGGTGAAGGTCCCTCCCTGAGTGAGCAGGAACCAGGCGCCCAGGCACGGGAGCGGTGCAAAAGGCGCCCTTCCCGCGCCACTGAACTGGGCTACAGCCCGCGTCCTGGAACTGAGGGCTTTGAACTGAGACCCGGGGCACGAAAATTCGGGGCGTGGTTTCTCCACGACGGTGGGGCACAAAGCAGACACAGCACCCCAAAGCTGTTGAGGTGTACCCTACCATTCCCGCTCTGTTCTCTGTCCCACGGGGTGGGGGGAGGCGAAAAACAGCCCCCCAAGGACAATAGGAGAGATCTCTGGCGCCACCTAGCGACCAGGAAAAAAAAAGTCACTAACACCCTATAAAACAGGACATTTCTTAAGACTGCTTGAAAAGGGCAGAAGGTTTCTGGAGGACCCAGTGGCCAGCCGGGAAGTTATTCCACGCCAGGCCCCTTCCGACCAGCAGTCTGAGCCCACAGAGGGAGCAGGCACCCACGTCCGGGGCAGACTGGGTGCGCAGAAGAGTGTGCCTGAAACCGGAGGCGCAGGGACTGCATCCCGCTTCGCCATTTGAGAACAGGGACATTTCTTCAGTAAAAACTGCCTAAAACCAGCAGAAAGCTCCCCCAGAAGACAGAGATGGCTCCTGGAAGAGCCAGAGGGGAGCGGAGAAGTTCACCCAAGATGTCAGTCAGTCCGAGCAACACAGCGTCCCAACGCATACGACAAATTAGAAAACAGACAGTAGGGAGTAGAAGAACCACACGCAACCTAAAAACTCCTCAGGAAAGAAGCACACCACAAAAAGAAAACCACTCCCCAGATTGCAACGACAGCAACTTGGAAGAACTTCTGAGCCTTCCAGAAAGAGAATTTAAAATTGCCATGATTAAAAAAGTGATAGATCAGAAGAAGGAAATTGAGTCCCTAAAGAGGGAAGTAAGAGAAATGCAGGAGATCAAAGAATTAATGGAGGAACTAAAGAACTCTGGGAAAAGCAATGAAAGCAGAATAGATGAAATGGAAGAACGAATAAGTAATCTTGAAGACACAGAAATAAAAAGAACCAAAACAGAAAAGGAAAGAGAAGTACGAAGGAAAAAGAATGAAGAAAGACTTCGGGAACTATCTGACTCCATGAGGAAAGGAAATATAAGAGTTATAGGAATTCCAGAAGGAGAGGAGAGAGATGTAGGAACAGAGAAAATATTCATGGATATAATTGAAGAGAACTTCCAAATGAGAAGAAGGAGCTGAAAATTGATATACAAGAAGCAAGAAGAACACCAAACTTCCACGACGAAAGGAAAAACACAGCAAGACACATAATAGTAAAGCTCCCAAGAATCCAGGACAAGGAAAAAATAATGAAGCTGACAAGAGGGAAGAAACAGATAACATTCAAAGGAAAACCAATCAGGCTGACATCAGACTTCTCTGAAGAAACACTACGGGCAAGGAGAGAGTGGAGGGACATAGTCAACAGACTCCAAGAAAACAGATGCCAACCAAGAATACTCTATCCCGCAAAGCTCTCTTTCCTCCATGAAGAAAGAATATGGACCTTCCCAGACAAAGAGAAACTCCGGAATTTCATTGCGACTAAACCCCCACTCCAAAAAATACTACAAGGAATCCTAAAGCCAGAACCTCAGAGGGACGAATAACAACGAAAGAAGACCAAAAAAAAAAAAAAAAAAGTTATTAAAAGAATAAATAAATAAAATCAAAGGAAAGACAAACATAATGGCAAATACAGATGCTAACATATCAATATTAACTCTAAATGTAAATGGACTAAACTCTTCAATAAAAAGACACAGAGTTGCAGCCTGGATTAAGATACAAAACCCAACCTTTTGCTGTCTCCAGGAAACACATTTAGCTACAAAAGATAAAAATAGGCTCAAAGTCAAAGGATGGAAAACAATCCTACAAGCAAATGGGCCAAAAAAGAAAGCAGGAACAGCTATACTTATATCAGATAAAACAGACTTCAAACTCAAAAATAAAAAGAGACCCCAATGGTCACTACATTATGATTAGGGGACAATACTTCAAGAAGAAATAACACTCATTAACATATACTCACCAACGAAAGAGCACCAAAATATATCAGACAACTGTTGTCCTCTCTGAAAACAGACATCAGAGAAAACATATGTAGTGGGAGACTTCAACACACCACTATCAACAATGGATAGATCAACAAGACAAAAAATAAGTAAAGAAACTAAAGCTCTAAATAAGGACCTAGAGCATTTGGGCTTAACAGACATCTATAGAACACTAAACCCAAAAAAACGGAGTACACATTTTTCTCAAGCGCACACAGATCATTCTCCAGGATCGATCACATACTGGGGCACAAGACAAACATCAACAGATACACCAAGATTGAAATCATACCAACCATCTTTTCTGACCACGAAGGCATCAAACTAGAAATAAATCATAAAAAGAAGGCAAGGAACTATCCTACCTCATGGAGATTAAAAGCCACACTACTGGAAGACCACTGGACTAACGAGGAGATCAAAGAAGAAATTAAAAAATTCTTTGAATTGAATGACAAGGAGGACACCATATCCTAATGTATGGGATGCAGCAAAAGCAGTAATAAGAGGAAAATATATAGCAATAGAAGCTCACATCAAAAAACAAGAAAGAACTCAAAGAAACAACCTAATCTCGAAGCTCAAAGATCTAGAAAAGAACAACAAAAACCCCAGAACCAGTAGAAGAAAAGAAATAATAAAACCAAAGCAGAAATAAATGAAATTGAACTAAAAAAAACAATCCAAAAGATCAATGAAACCAAGAGCTGGTTCTTTGAAAAAATAAATAAAAATAGACAAACCCCTAGCCAGGCTCACAAAGGAAAAAGGGAGAAAGCACAAATACACAGAATCATAAATGAAAGAGGAGAAATCACAACGGACACAGCAGAAATCAAAAGAATAATCAGTAACTACTATGAACAGTTATATGGAAACAAGTTCAACAATCTAGAGGAGATGGACAAATTCCTACAACTCTACAATCACCCAAAGCTAGATAAAGAAGAAATAGAACACCTAAACACCAATTACAAGCAGCGAAATTGAAATGGTAATTAAAAACCTCCCAAAAACAAAAGCCCAGGACCTGATGGATTTACAAATGAATTCTACCAAACATTCAGAGACGAATTAGTGCCTATCCTTCACAAACTCTTCCAAAAAATTGAGAAGGAAGGGACAATACCAAAACACGTTCTATGAAGCCAATATTACACTAATACCAAAACCGAATAAGGACAACACAAAAAAGGAAAACTATAGGCCAATCTCCCTAATGAACACTGATGCAAAATCCTCAATAAAATTTTAGCTATCAGAATCCAACAATGTATCCATAAGATAATTCACCACGACCAAGTTGGATTCATTCCAGGGGCACAAGGATGGTTTAACATCCGAAAATCAATCAACGTTATCCAACACATCAACAAAAAGAAATATAAAAACCATATGATAATATCAATAGATGCTGAGAAAGCTTTCGACAAAGTGCAACACCCATTCATGATAAAAGCCCTTGAAATTCTTGGGATACAAGGAACATACCTCAACATCATAAAGGCCATCTATGACAAGCAACAGCCAGTATCATTCTCAATGGTGAAAAGCTGAAAGCAATTCCATTAAGATCTGGAACAAGACAAGGATGTCCACTCTCACCACTGCTTTTCAATATAATACTGGAAGTCCTAGCCAGAGCAATAAGACAAGAGAAAAACATCCAAGGAATCCAAATTGGAAAAGAAGAGTCAAACTATCACTATTTTGCAGATGATATGATAATATACATAGAGAACCCCAAAATCTCCACAGAAAAACTAATTCAACTCATCAATCAATTCAGTAAAGTGGCAGGATACAAAATCAACACGCAAAAGTCAGTAGCCTTCCTATACACAAACAATAAATCTGAAGAAGAAGAAATCAAAAAAACCACCCCTTTATTATCGAAACAAAAAAAAAATCAAATATTTGGGAATAAATCTAACAAAAGAGGTAAAGGACCTAT